CTGTACTAGTGATGACAGTGTTGTGTGTATCATTGTATTAGTGATGATAGCATTGTGTGTATCACTGTATTAGTGATGATAGCATTGTGTGTATCGATTTTTAGTGATGACAGCATTGTGTGTATGTATGTATCATTGTATTTTTCTCATGTTTTCTCACTGAGAAGTCTTAGCATTTTCCTTAATAATTTTTATTAATTCTTTGAGACCATTATGCAATTTATTTTGATCATGTTACCTTCCATTCCTCCCTCTGTTTCTTCCCAGATCCACCCTCTCATCCTGACCTTCTGGTAATGAGTCTGAAGACTTACAAGACACCAAGAGCAAACAACATTCTTGAAGACTTCCCTGGGAACAGGCAGTTGAGAAAGAAGCTCAGGATTCCGCTGCCCCAATAACAACCCCCTTTTCAGAAGATGTTCCTGGCTTATTTCATATGCATTTTCTTTCCAAAAAGGTGTATGAACACCCTGTAGAGTTTGAAGTAATTATCGAATCAAGTACGATTTAATCCAGGTGTGGAAAATAGTTACCACTACTCAGAGAGGGGCCTGGGTAGTGACCTTCCAGCTCTTGGCATGTCCGGCTTGGTGAGGGTCTTCGTTGGAAGTCAGGTTTTAGTAGAGAGGAAGGAAGGAAAAAGCAGGAAGTTAGATGGGTCCAAGGTTTTGAAGATGTTTAGCATTTTCATGTATATGACCCAGGACCTGCTGCTTGGCATGAAGTGGAACATCTGTGTTGTTCTCGGTAGTAAGCTCATGGCACTGGGCTAGAGGGATCAGAGAATGCAACTACCATTCTGCATATGTTGAATGACTTGCTGTCCTGGCCCATTTAGCCTGTCGTGACAAAGTACTGTAAACTGGGTAGCTGGTAAACAATGGGAATTTATTTCTCACAATACGGAAGCAGTGGAGTTTAACATTAAATGCCTGAGGATTTACTGTGGGCCTATTCCCTACTTTACCGGTTTTACTGTCTACATCTTCACTGGGTAGGAGATGGTAACATTGTGTAGTCTTTTTTTCGTAAGGACACTAACATCAATTATGAGAGCCCCACCCCCAGTATCTAATGGGCTCCTCAAAACATCACACCCAGGAAACCGGCTTATGATTCAGAATCAGCAAACGACTCGGGGAGGGAGCACAAGCATTCGTAACATAGCACTTCACCGTGTGCTGGCCATTATCTAAGCCCTTGTTGCCAACAAATTGTCCTAATTCATCCAATAGCTCTATGAAAACAATGTGTTGTTATCTGAAGCAGTGGGCGAGAGAGGGAAGCAGCTTGTCCATGGTACAACAGGAAGTAGCAGAATCCGGATGTGTGTCTCCATCGCCTCTGGGCTTTTTCACACTGTCTCTGAAACCTAGAGAGTAGAGGAAATGAGGTGATTTTAGCATGTGTTTTATAAAGATAGATGATATATTATCTCCGACAAATCCTATTGCCAATTACTACTTTTGAAGACTTGTCCAGACTTCCAAGGCCAGGTTGGCCTTCTTTGTTCTTGTCCTATGTTATTGTGGTTCCCCACCCCTCTCCCATCATTCCTTCTTTCTTTTCCCCCTTGCCTGAAGACCAAAACCGGCCTGGTTTCCTTAGCCTCCTTCAGATGAGAGTGCTCCATGTTATCTGACAACACATCTTTATTGCTTTTTAGTGTAAATCCTTCCTCGTGTCCCTAACATGTTTTGGCCCCTACAGCCCACCCCACGAGATTCCTTTCTTCCACTTGCTCTCTCTCATCCACTAACACGAATCTTAGTGTGTGCTTTTTCCTCTCTTCTTTTCTGTTCTTTCTCCTTAAACCGACAACACCTAACACCCAAGTACTCACAGTACGTTTAATGACCCTTTACTCCCTAAAAGGATTACTGCTTAAAGGTGTGCTGTGTCCTGCATGTCTTGATCCTGGAAACCTGATTGGGGTGATGAGGAAATGAAGACAGAACAGACACGAGTCAGAAAAGCTGGAGTCAGGCTGACTACGGGCAGTCTGATGGAGTGGCTCCAGCTTGAAACAACCACCTAGAACCCCAGTATCAGGGAGGAGTTAGCTCAGAAGGAAGCCACGGAGGGTGAGAAGCCCCCTGGGAGGGCTGTAGACCCCCGGAAGGAGGAAGCCGCAGCTGCTAGTTTTTGCACACACTGGTTACTCTCTCACAAACACCCACATTTGCCCACACCATCCACATTCACAGTGGGACCAAAAGAAGACTTTGCTGCCTTTTAATTTCCCGCACCTGCTAGGGGAAAGGTTTTGTCAGGTCTGAGGCACTGGGTCCTTGACATGGCTGTGATCCTGTCAACCATACACATTTACTCGGGACTGGTTAATTTAATCCTCACTTTCAGGGCTTCCTCAGCTCCACACAGGGTGAGTGGTATAGTTGGTTATTACTCTATTTCTTTTCATAGTGGGTCTAATCCTGGATAGCGTCTTGCTGTTTGAGTCCATTTGGTCTGCTACAACAAAGTACCATAAGGTGGGTAGGCTTTATATAACCAGTGGGAATTTATTTCTCACCAGCAAGGGAGAAACAGAGCCTGGGAATCTAGCCTGGTTCCCTGAACACCAGTCTAGTAGAGGAAAGTAACACTTCCACCCTACACCAACCTAGTCCTCCTAAACATTGCAAAGACTTCTAACTAAACGAACAAGCTTTATCTAAATAACATAATAAATTAAACCAACCACCTAACTCCTGATAGGCAGGTCCCAATGTAAAAACAGAAGGAGCAATGACGACCAAACAAGACATCTCCGAATTCTGCCCATCCTAGGGTGATGTTCCTCAACAAGAGTGACCTAGATGAAATGCCAGACAAAGAGTTCAAAAGCATGGCGATCAATCCACTCAGAGAAATGAAAGAAGGCACAAGCAAACTCCTGAATGAAATCCCAGAGAACACAAACAGCAATGAAATAAGGATGTCAATGTAGGATATGAGCGGAATTCAATAAAGACAGAAGCACCTGGGAGAAGCCACACAGAAACGATGCTGGAAATGAAAGCTCCAGGAAGCGAAATGAAAGCCCCGGGGAAAGCCGGGAACAGATCATGGGAGGACAAATTATTAGGGCTTAACGACAAGGTAGAGGAATTGGTATGTTCATTCAAGGACAACAATGGAAGGCTTTTAAAACGGGAATGTAAAAGGCATGATCTGTGGGATACCAGATAGTGCATGGCTATTTTCTTGAAATGAAACAGCCCCTCCAGGAGGGAGGAAGAGGCTCATGAGCCACAGGAGGTAAAGAAGATCACAGACCTGGGACTCAGAATCTTAGAGTCTTCTCAGAGGCGACTCCCAAGCTGTCTAGAAGAAGCAACACACCACTGTTTAATGCTGAGCTGCAGAGAAGCGTCTCTGGTTGTTGAAACACCTGTGAGCTGAGCAGAGGGCTCCAGGCTTCTGGGTTTCTCAGTGACACACCTAACTTATTATTATATTATTATTATTATTATTATTATTATTATTACTACTATTATTGTGGGTAGTGAGATGTGTAAGCAGGGCTGAACCACAGGGGGTCGGAGTAGGGATTAATCTGGAAGTCTAAGAGGGTTCAAGATAGTTCAAGTTGAAAAGCCTTGCCTGGAGTACACGAGCTTGGGAGTGGCTTCGTTGAACACCATGGTGGAAATGGGTTTGTGAAGGAGAGGCTTTGGCAGACCTGAGATCTAGACTGGCGTGTGAATCTAGTTCATAAGGTGACAAAACAATCTAAAAGAGATCAAAGAAGGGCAAAATAGGAAAAAAAAATAGTCTGTATAGGTCACTTGGAGGCAACTGTGTCAACTGAGTTCCCGAGGAAAAAGAACTGACGGCTAGACACCACAGAATTCAATTTATAATATGAACTACAAATTAATCTAAAACGTCAGAGCGCAGGTGAGGAAGGCCAGCGGCAGGGGAAACACAGAAGGACCTAGGGAAATCTGGGGGAGGCATAGATCTGCGGTAAGTTCATTCCCTTGGCTGCCATGCTGGTTTCAAAGACAACAAAACGTAGTGTGTGCGCAATTTATGTTTGTCGGCTATACAGCAGTGAAGCTGGTCATTGCAGAATGAGCATGAGAGGGACTATATGTTGGTGTAGCACTGTGTCCTGAACGCTGTGCATGGGCAGATCTCATATTTTGAAGCGATTTTTAAAATAAGCTTTAAAACCGTACATCATTTTCGTACTGGCAGGCTGGCAGGTCATAGGTGACCTTCTGCACTCCGGGTCTGCAGCTCCTAGACCCGAGGGCCTATCTGTGCTGCTTCTTTCCAAGGTTCCTTAAGAACTTGGAAAGTTCTTAAGCTTATAGGAGCGGGGCGGCCTCCTCCAGTTAAACCCCGGAAACTGCTAGTTCTGGGCAAGCCTTCATTTACTTTAGTGAATACTCACTAAGCATCTGCTTGCTACTTAAGGAGCACGCCCAGGGTGCCCTGGGACCCCCAAAGGACTTCTAGAGGCCTGGGAACCTGCATGTGCTGAATGAGGCCCTGGGCTCCAGCAGAATGGCACGGGCTGGGCAAGGCTGCTTAGGATCAGAGCTTCTGGGGTAGGGGTAGGGGGGGGGGCTTCCGCCAATGGGCGGGGCGTTCCCGAGGGGGCGGGGCGTAGGCGTGTATCAGGGTCTAGCTCTTGGTGGACTCACCTAGGCGTCGTGGCTGGGGGCGCGGAGGGATTGACAGGGGCGGGGCATCTCTGAGGAGCAGGCACTTCCGGAGGGCGGGGCATTATTAAGGGGCTGGGAGTGGGCAGGCATAAGGCATAACACACAGCTGCTGGGGGTGGGGTGAGGCCGCCCGGGGAACGGGATCACGGGGACTGAATATCCGGAAGGGCGGGGCGTGGGCGGGCACCGGGACCTGTGTACCTCGAGCAAATCGGTGGGGGCGAAGCTTCCCGGAGGGGCGGGGCGTGGGCGGGGCCTGACCTGCGGGGCCAGTCTGTCCATCACAGTCCAGCGCTCACCTGAGAAGCGGGCTGCTGGGGTTCGGCAAGCGGACTCCTGTGCTGGACCTGAGGGCTGGACCTGGGCTGGCTGCAGCTCAGGTGTGGGTTCTGAGGTAAGGTTTGTGGCGCAGCTCCGGGGACCCCTCGGGGTGGGGAGGGGCGGGCCGATCCTCAAAGGCGAGCCCCCAGAGCTGTCGGGTTGCAGAGGGAGAGTGGACCCGAACCGCCTCGGACCCAAGCCCGACAGGCCGCTTCACCGCCAGCTATGTGGAGGGTTTTTTGCCTAGGGTGAGGCTGTTCCCAAGCCCCGTTTCTCTGGGCAGTTAGAATGTAAAATAAATTGCACCGTGCAGCGTTGGAGAGGTGCATTTGCACCGTCATTTGTTCACATTTGTAGACTCTAAACTCTGCCCTGGCTTGGCGCCGTCTCTCCCCAGCCCAGTCTGGAAGCCGAGGTTGCAGGAAGATGGGGCAGGCTGCTAGGTGCCCGTCTCCGTAAGGGACTCTAAGGGATGGTCCAGGTCAATCAAGTTCTGTGCAGCCTTTCTGGCATTCTCGCATCTCAAAAGGTATTTTCAGTCCAAGTGCATTTTTGCAAACTTCGGTCTTCAGATACTGCCCTTAAAAATGAATGTATCTCCTTCGTAAGTAAATATATCTTAACACTACAGAGAAGTTTGAACTGTGCTGAAAAAGTTATACAGCTTATAAACAAATACATGTAATCATGAATCACCTTAAATTTTCAGGGTATCTCTCCATAAATAGTAGGTAAAATGTGAGTTTTCAGATTGGTTTACTGCCTGATATGAATAGCTTCCAGTGTAACTCCTGGCAAGTATTGCAATATTTCCGTAACCTAGTTTTTCATATGGGCAGAAAATAGTTTTAATAATTTACTAATAAAATGACTTAATGTATACAGTGACTTATAAATAACCGTAGCGTAAGATTATCACATGCCCTAATGATGCTTTTGTGGTATTTTCCAAGACTGAAAGTGAAGGCAAATGGATGTTGGTGAGTACCCTATGGCAACGATTGCTTCATTTCACTGGTCCAGCGTCAACTGTAACTCGGAAGCCACCTTTAGGTAAGAGAGTCTTGAAAAAGAAGCGATCCATTTCTTTCACATAAAAACAAGTGAAAAATAGCCCCTTATATTTAAGGTAGAATTTTTATATGAAACATTTCCAAAAAAAAAACATTTTAACGGGAAAACAATACGACTAAGTGGCATTCCATAATGTAACTCATTATTTAAACTAAATAATGAATAAATGATCAGGAAAGTATTTCCAAGTAATACAGATCAATTTATCTTACATTCTAAAATATACTGACACACATAACTACAATGTTGTGCTTTATGAAGTTTGTAATTGGGAGGGTAAAGTTTTATATTCATTAGTTTATGTGAGGAGACAGAAAATTAACATGTATTTACTAAATTATTGGTATTAACATAATATTCCTTTTTAAGAGGTTTATCCATATTGGGATTTTGCCTGTATTTATGTTTGTGTACCTACCATGTGTGTACCTGATGCACGTGTGGGTGCTGGCAATCGAACCTGGGGCCTCTGTAAGAGCAGCAAGTGCTCGTGTCCACCGAGCCATCTTTCCAGCTCCTAACAACGTTAATTCTTTATGATGATTCAGTAGACTGGAAGTTTAATGAATTCAGTAAATTGAACAATTCTTGTTATGGACAATCAAGCTGAATCTATAACACAATCGCTCGGGGTAGAGAACTGTGAGGTAGTTATACAAAATCTGGCATTCGGATAAAGTCTTTATTTGTCTTCACTCCTCTTCTAGTAAAGTTTTATATTAGGGGTCACCTTTCTTTTAATTTACTGAAATTTTAATGATTTTGTAGGCTACCACGTGAAACAGTTATCCTCTGATAATTGAGTTACAAGTTGGCCAGGATTTTGTTTTCCATTGCAGTTTCTAAGCCCTGAAAATGACTTTTTCCTTTTTTCAGTGATTTTTGTAGGTCAGTCCTGCTTCTGGGATCCTACTTTATGTTGTGATTAAGAAATGCTTCACCCCACTCAGTTCGAGTCTCAAGACAAATGTGCTTTCACTGTAAATAAAGATTTCCGTGGATGTGAAGGTATGTTCAAATCTGGTACTAAATTGGTGTATATGTTCCTAGTGTTGAGGGGTGAAGGGAGGGCTAGGTCATTAATCAGAGTGAAGTTCAGAACCATTTCCTTACCATTATAAAGCCTCTCAAATAATTGTACATTTAATACTCTGGGTTCTTACATAAAACATGCAGAGAAAATTATAGATATGTTCTTGTATGTATCAATATATCTGGGCTTCAGCTGTTGGAGCTTGGTAGTGTCCCCAGGTAGTTAATACCTGCAGAGTCTTTCTGGGGAAAATAATTTCATTCTCGTGTTTTTTATTACTGACCACAGAGGAGCAGATATGTCCTCATGCAACTGCTCTGTCCCTGCTATGCCCACATTTCCCAGAATTCGTATGTCCAAGCTGCCACCTGAAATTTAGTACAAATCATTTGGTTTTCTCTTAGAATTGTGACATGCCTTTCCAAATGAAAGGAGTTGAGAAAAATGCAAGTCAGTACAGCAGTGCTTCTTGAGTATGCCCAAGGCACCGATACTTAAAATGGTCCACTCCTCCTAGCAGCTTTATGGGGACTCTGACCTCTGCCTTACGGATGAGAAACCAGGCTTAGAGTCACATGGTTACTATATGGCATAGCTGAGACTTTCCTGACAGATGCTTTTAGTTGTACTGTCTCCCACATCTCCCAGGAGTTTAGCAGAATTTCAGTGTGGTGTTTCCACAAAAGCTGGGGTATATTTGAATGCTTCCCCTTAGAGGCCCTTAGCCACTTCTCCCATCCACAAAGGCAGTCACATGCAGTTCTGTGTTTCCTCTCATGCAGTTAACATGCTCCCCTCACATGTCATTTACCCTTGTGTTCAGCCTTTGAGCACGGTTTTGAGAGCGGGTGTGCGCTCTGTCCTCAGCACATGGTAGCATTTATCAGTGCATGGAAGCAGAAGGTTGCTGTGAAAAGGGCGCTGGTTGGGTTACTGCCCATTCCTTATATCAGTCTATACAGTTAGAGTACGGATGTTTGTGGGGTGCATATCAGTCTATACAGTTAGAGTGCAGATGTTTGTGGGGTGCATATCAGTCTATACAGTTAGAGTGCAGATGTTTGTGGGGTGCATATCAGTCTATACAGTTAGAGTACGGATGTTTGTGGCGTGCCAGACAAGAAACAAACGGCGTTTTCTGATGCTTACAGAATGAAGAGGAATCATTTCTCTGCCGTGAATAACGCTGTCCAGTCTTCACCAGTGGTGAAGCAGCCCAGACGTGGGCTCCGCCTTTCTCTCCCGCACGCTCATGTGCTCCCTGTTCTTCCAGACTGGGGGACTCTACCGCAGCACGTGATATTACACATCTTCCGGTATCTTCCTTTAATAGACCGAGTCTGCGCGTCTTCTGTATGTAGGAGCTGGAATGAAGTGTTTCACGTCCCTGATCTCTGGAAGAAGTTTGAATTTGAGCTGAACCGGTCAGCCACTTCCTATTTTAAGTCCACTCATCCCGATCTCATCCAGCAGATCATCAGGAAGCACGCTGTGCACCTGCAGTATGTCAGCTTGAAGGTACGAAGCCGCGTGCGCGCGTCGGTGAGATCCCTCTGTGAGTTTGGATCCTTACTTGGAGGCACTTGGTAAATACGCCATGGTTTTTAGCCCACGTTGCTTTCTCATTGTTCTCTAGTTGTTGCGCAGACTGAGATAGAGAGCCCGAGCTGTCAGTAAATGACTTAAACGTCAGTTTTCTCACTTGGCTATTATTATTAATACCCAGGTCATTATAAAGGCCTAAAAGCATGAAGTGTTGCAAAGTTATTTTGCCATCTTTCTGTTTCTCCCTTTGTAAGCTCAGACATTCCGTAGAAAAGCAGTCATTTCAATTGATGAAAGGGATCAACAAAACTTGGTTATTAAATTCCATTAAATAATTGCATTTCCAGTGGTTCTGACACATTACCTTCAGGGAAGTTCATATTAAAAATTGTCTTTATAGGTTGATAGTAGTATTGAGTCAGCGGAAGCTGCCTGTGAGATTCTCTCTCAGCTGGTAAATTGCTCCATCCAGACCCTGGGGTTGATTTCCACAGCCAAACCAAGGTTTATGAATGTGCCAAAGGTAAGACTACTGGGCCTTTTGTGAACTACGGTAGACTTCTTTTTAAATGATGTTTGTGTTCATGTGCATGCAGGTGTGCGTATGTGTGCATGCATGTGACTGTCAGAGGACATGTGCCCTCCCCGCAAAACCCACCACCCACCTCCTGTAAGGCTGGGTTTCTCATTGACTTAGAGTTCAGCGGCATGGCTAGCCCAGCTGGCCAAGCCTGTCAGTTAAAACCCGGCCCTGGATAATCAAAGAGGAAAGATGAAGTCACTTAGACATTCCCAGCACTGTCCACTGCAGGAAGCACCGTCTTCATTCCTCTCCCGAGTGTCCTCAGCTCTGCAGAGACGTCTTCTCAAACTGGTCACTGTCTGCTCCTACTGTCTTAGTTTAGAAGATACTCTGTCCAAAGCAATGTAAGGGAGAAATATCCTTCCCTGGCACTTCCAGTGCACAGTCCCGCATGGTTGGGAAGCCAAGGAGCAGGAGCTTGAAGCATCCAGCCATACGGCATCGTTGTCAGGCAGCAGAGAATGCTGATGGATGCCGCTCTTCAGTGCCCACCCCCATTCGTATAGTCCAGGATCCCAAAAGGGTGCTGGCTACAGCCATCGAGCCTTCATCTCAGTTGACGTAATCAGGGTAGTCCTGGGACAGTGAGGGGGCTCAGCAGGTAAAGGTGCCTCCCGCCTGGTCTGAGAATCTGAATTTGAGCCCCAGAACCCGTATGGTGGCAGGAAAGAACTTCCGTAATTTGTCCTTTGACCTCCGCATCTGGTAATAGAGTGTGTACATGCATGAACATATACAGGTAGTAAGTCAATAATATGATAATCCCCAAAGGCTCCGACGTGACTCAAGAGTCTCTTGAGTTGACAACCAGCACCAACTATAAAGCCGACCGCATTTCATCTTCTTTGCACTGTTAGTTCTCCAAACCATCTCAGTGATGAGCTCAGCCTGTTTACTGGGCTCGCCTCACACTCAGCCCTTTGGAAGCATGAGAGACCATCCGTGTTGTTTACCTGTTTACCAGGAACCCAGGTTAAAGTAGTGTTCACTTTGTAACTAGCTCTTCGTTACAGCCGTTGATAAAAATCTCCTGACAGAACTCTCCTACAGAAGAGGGTAGGGATAACAACATCCTCCCACCTGTAAACTGGGTCGTGGCTCTCTCAGCCAGGCTGTCTGCTAGCCTGTTGTCGTTTTAGGAGGTAGGCTGGAAAAAAAATTGGGTCATTTGGGGATTTAGAATAATATGAGTAATCAGATGAAAGCTGACTAGTGTTGAAGAGTCACTTCCTTGTTTATAGTCCACAGGCTCAGACTGACCTTATGCATCTTAGAGTCCAAAGCTAAGGCTGCCGGTGCCCATCAGCCTCCAGGGCCAGCTTCTGGAGTTGCTATGCATTGCCCGGCAGATGCCAGGCATGGGACTTTAGACATGAAGAGTGTAGCAAGTGGGGCTATGAGGAAACCTGCGCTGTGCCTCTTCTGCGTCCTGCAAGACGGAAACAACTAATTCAGAGTTGATTGAAGGGGAAAAAAAACCCAACTTTATGTTTCTTGAAAAAGAGATAAGGTTCTGTATTAAGTTAGTAGCACTCTAGCCCTCTGCTGTGTGAAAACCACTTTTAATTAGTGTAAGACCATGTGTTTACACATTTATAACCAATGTAGTCATCCTAACAGGGCCTGCAGAACCTTTAATACAACCAAGATGGAGTTTGTGGAAGGGAAAGGGATCTTGCCTTGGATTTGCTTTCCACACTTTCCGACTTGGCCAGAAATAATGAATCTGAAAATGTGTGGAATTCTGCCTACACTGAGGTCACGCTATTAGTAAGCTTTATTTTGTAATTCTTCAAAAATGTAACTGCCTTATTTACTTCGTTTAAATCTGCTGGGTAAAGAACATAGGATTATGACATCCCTTCATCCTTTGAAAAGTATTATTGATTGCTATGCTGCAGACACTGTCTTAGGTCTGGAAATATAAAAGTGAATGAAACAGGGAAAAGTGTATTTTTCCTGGGAGGAGGTAGGAAGAACCCAAAGAATTCTAGGCTCTGAGGGCCATACAGATCGGCCTCAATTCCCCAGCTCCTCTGTTGCAGGGAGAAGCCAACACAGACCATGCGAAAGGAGAGCGTGTGGCTGGGCCATGCAGGCTTCATCTGTGAGCCTTAACTCTGTTTCCTGTAGCTCCCGTGCTACACAGTGTTATGCTTCAGGTCTTTTCCACCTTTAATAATCCAAACGACTTAGTCTTCACTCATGAAACAGAGAGAAACAGACTCTGCACTGAGCTTGGCTGGTGGTCCGTAGTTAGCTAATCCCTGTTCTAGAAAATAAATTAACTATAACTTTTTAATACTTGACATCGAATTCTTAAGGTTGAAAATAGCTAAGACATCCTTTAGAAGATATTTGGAATTTTTCCTTTCTCATTGTTCCATTTTCAAACCTACACCACAAACAAGTTAGTTTTCCCCCAGAGATTCAAGGTTGGTTTTGCATATCATTCAATGTCATGTAACACACAAAATGGGTTTAAAGATGGAAATCATGTGATCATCTCACTGGACATGTGAGGCTTTTCCCAGAGTTAAACACCCCAACATTCCTCTAAAGTTAGATAGGAATGTCCACCTAACCACTCTTAATTCAATATAATGCATGCAATCGTAGCTAGAGCTCTATCATTAGAGAAATAAATAAAAAGGATACAGATGGGAAAGGAAGAGAATGATTACTCACACTTGCAGACTTGAGTCTATACTTACAAGGTCCTAGAGAGCTCACCAGAGAAATCTTAAACTCCAGCAAAGTAACAAGACACAAAGTCACCACAGAAAAGTCTGTAGCCTTTCTATATATAAATAATGAAACTGCCAAGAAAGAAGAAAATGCCATTTATAATGCCCCCATAAGACCCCCAAAACTCAGAATTAAGCCTAACTATGGAGAAAGGTAGTAGGAGACCTCTGCAATGAAACCCTTAGGACTTCAAAGAGAGGAATTTAAGAAGCTGGAGAAACCTTATGGCAGGATTAGTAGTGTAGAAAACGACTGCATTGGCCGAAGTGGCTTAGAGATTCAACAGTCTCCCTCAGAAATGCATTCCAGTCTTCACAGCAGTAGAGAAGACAGTTCTGCTGTTGATACGGAAGCACAAAGAGACCCTCATCGCTGCAGCAATTCGAAGCAGAAAGAGCAGCGTGCAAGTATAAAAGCCGGGCTCGAGTTATAGCTCAAAGCCACAGTTCCAGAAACTAGGCTTGGAACGGTCACAAAAACAGACATACAAGCCAGTGTTACAGAATGTAAAACCTGAAAATGAGACCAAACAGGTACAGCATGCACTGGAAACAAAACGCAGCATCTTCAGCAAATGTTGGTTGGAAAACTGGATGTAGAAGAGTGAAACTGGATCCTCATCTCTTACCCTGTAGAGAAGTCATTGGAACAGAATGTAAGCTCTAAAACTGAGCTCAGACAGCTACCACCACCTAGTCCCCTACCAAAGACAAGAACCCATACTAAACAAATTACTGTATGCTGTATGTATATTACAAAATACTGTATGTATTACAAGTTATGCTACTGGCAAACTACCTGAAGTCATAAACTACACAGAGATGCATACATAGCCATGTTTGCCGATTTACTGCTCACAGTAGTTAGGAAGACAAACTGGCCTAGATGTCCATCAACAGACAGTGAGTGAAGCATAGTACACACACAGTAGAATTTTTTTTCACCTTGAAGAAATGCAAAATCATGATATTTTCAGGAAAATATGTGGAAGTAGACATGAAGATGTTAGCTGAAATAGATCAAACTCAGGACGACAAATACTGCATGCCTTCTCTCATGGGCAGACTCCATGTGTCCAGCGTGTATGTGAGTGTGTGTGTGTCTGTCTGTCTGTGTGCATTTGAGGTTATGAAAGTAGAAAGAGAACCACGGAAGAGGGAAGCGGGGAGAGAGAGAAAGACAAACGGAATCCAGATGATGAGAGCAGGAGTATTTGGAGGGATGAGGGGACCAGAGATAGATGGGTCGGGAGGATGGGGAAAGGCAGAGAGAAGGGCGTGGAGAAGAGGGAAGCATAGAGACAAACAAGCATGAAAATGCCGAATGAAACCCATACTTTGATACTAACTTGAAATTTTATATAAAAAGGAAATAGGAATGTCATCTAATGGCTAGCAATAGCATGAAAACATAGTCTATTTTTACTGTATTTTAGCACCTAAGAATTCATTTTTTAATGCTACTTGTTTGAAACTAGGAGTTTTAAATAACGTTTTCGTAATTTTTTTCTTACTGGCATGCAAGTCTCATTTTGTGTCAGCACTTACAGTTGTGTTTGTCAACTCAAAGTCGTCATCAGTTAAGATCGGAGATGCGCCTGTGGACCATCCCTCACTGAAGATTCTCGTGGCCAACAGTAGTGACACTCTGCGACTCCTAAAAATGAGCAGCTGTCCTCATGTTTCGTCTGATGGTAGGTCGTGCTTTTTATGTAAATTAATCGATGGTTTTTACTATAGTAACAACAAATTACCTATTGAAAAGTACACGCCTTTGGAACATAATTTTTAAGAATTTTATCAGAAGCAATCATCTTCAAATTAGATGTAAGTTGCTTCTTCAGAGAGTATTTTCCCCTTGGACATGTGTTAATCTTGTCAAAATTAGTGACCCATTTTTGACAATTTCATGCATGTACATAACATATTTTGATCATGTTCGCTCCCGTTACCTTCTCTTGTTCCTCCCTCCCCTGTCAGGGCCCTTCTTCTTCCCAGTTAGCCCCCCTTCCAGTTAATTTCTTCTCCATTTTGCTGACCCTCTGTGTTATTGGGATTATTAGAGCATGGACAATTTACCAGTGGCGGCACCATGGGAGAAATCTCCCCTAGCAACACTCAGCAGAGAAAGCTCCTCGCAGAGGGGTGGGACCTCCCTCATGAGCCCCTTCCCACCCGTGATGCCGTGTTGGAGGGTGTCTTCAGTGGCTGTGAGCTCACGAGTGCAGCAAACAGTGTCATGTCTCTGCATTCCGTGTACTTCCTCTGTCTCTCGCATCCTTCTCACCCATCTCTTCCGCAGTCTTTCCTGAGTCTCGGCCAGCGAGTTTTACAGATGCTCTCTTAGGACTGAGCACTCAAAAGTCACTTATATTTTCATCTCTTACCAATTAAAGTCCCTGCAGTCACTGCTGTCCATTATAAAATGGGGATTCTCTGACAACGGCTAAGCAGCACTCACCCATGAGCGAGCATAATAAGATCAGTCTGATGGGCATAGCACGCCTACTTAGCGGAATGACTGTAGAAGCTTCCGTGTCAGGGCCTATGGCCTTCCAACCATGGACTTTGAACAGGTTTACAGTACCAAGTAAGAGTTCTCTTCTATGGAGTGGTCCTCAGATTCAATGAGAAAGTTATTCCCGTGACAGTCATGGCGCTGTTGTAGCTGTGGGCACTTGTTGTCTAGTGGAGGCTGGCAGCACACGGGGTTCATAGCTGAGTAAGACTCCTCTGTCAGCCTTCATAGCACTGGGAAGCATTATGAGAGCTAGCCTGCAGGAAATTTCCAGCTCGGTTTCAGCTTGATTTGTCTACACCCTGCAGCCAGAGCATGCGGCCATCATCTAGTGTCTATTTCACTTGCTTTGAAGTTTTCATTGTAGATGTGTTTATTCCAAGGTGTGCCATGTGGGGTGGGGGCAGTTGTGAATGGATTGTTTTCCTGATTTCTCCCTTAGCACATGTGTTATTGGAATGTAGAAAAATGCAGTGATTTTTGCATGTTCATTTTGCATCCTGCCACTCTTTGCTGGTGCTCAGCAGCTTTCAAGGTTTTCCGGGAGTCTTATATAGAGAAGCATGTCGTCTGCAATTTCTTTATTTCCTTTCCTCTTGTCTTCAGGTTCTGTTGCTGTGATGAAACACTGTGACCAAAAGCATCTTGGGGAAGAGGGGGTTTATTTCATCTTCTGGCTTGCAGTCCATCGTCGAGAGAAATCAGGACAGGAACCTGGAGGCAGGAAGTGATACAAGGCCATAAAGGAAAGAGGAGAGCTGCTTACTGGCTGGCTTCCTATGGCCTGCCCTGCCTGCTTTTTAATACATCCCGGGGCTGCCTGCCAAAGGGTGACACCTCCCACAATAGGCTTGGCATTCTGATATCAAGCACTAAGTAAGAAAACTCACCACTGGCCGTCTAGTGGGGGCATTTTCTCAATTCAGATTCCCTCTTCCCAGATGACTCTTGTGTCAAGTTAACATAAAACCAGCCAACTCCCGTATTTATATCCCTTTCATTTGCTTCTCTCGGCTTGGTATTCTAAGGCTTCTGTTACTGTAGTAAGAGCGGAGGACATGAGCAGCCTTGGTTTGTTCCTCGTTTTAGTCATTTGAAATTTTCTCCGATTTGTATAATGTCAGCTGCAGGTTCATCATAGACAGCTTTAGTTATGTTGAGATACACTTTCATCAAAGATGACAGCCCTTATTATGTTGAGACACATTCCTTCTGCTCCCACTTTCTTCAAGGCTTTTATCATGAAGGAATGTGGCATTTTGTCCAAACCCTTTTCTGCTTCTATAGAGAAAATCATGTGATTTCTGTCTTTAAGACCTTTTATGTGATGTCTTACATTTACTGATCGGCACACATTGAATGTCTCTTGCAACTGTAGAATAAAGCCGACCTTATCATGCCAAATGTCCCTTTTAATATGTTCCTATATTTGATTTGCAAGCATTTTTAAGCATGTGTGTGCAAGTTTGTGCGTGTGTGTGTGCGCGCGCGTATGTATGTGTGTACTCATCGTTTAGAGTGCTGGGACACATAGGCTGTGGCACATTTGTAGAAATCAGGATGTGTCTTTGCCATCCAACTTCTTTGAGACATGGTATCTTGTCTGCTACTGTAGACACCAGGTCAGCTGACCAAAGACCTTCTGGGAATTCTGCATCCCCAGCTTCCGTCTTGTTGTAGGTGCGCTAAGATTGCAGAAATGCTTCCACATGGGTTCTGGGAATCCAAACTCAGCTATTCCTGCCAGTACAGCGAGTTCATTAACCACTAAGATTTGCAAGTATTTGGTTGGGATATTTGGCATGAATGTTCATCAGGAAGATTGGTCTGTCATTTTTTTTTCTAGTTAATTTTTTAAATTAATGCCCCAAAGTAGTAGGTTTTATCATGGCATTTTCATGTATATATTGTGTTGTTATTCTTTATGCCTGTCTGCCTCCCCTCCCCACTTCCTGGCCCTCTTCCTGCCTCCTTTTGCTCTCATATCACATGTATCCCATCATTCTCTGTTCCTCCATCGTTCTTCCCTGCCATAGCCCCTTTCATGCTTGGTAGGCTCTTTTCAGCTGACCCAAGCTACGGTCATCCGGGAAGAAAGAACCTCAATTGAGAAAATGCCTCCATCAGTGGGGACATTTTCTTAATTAAGAATTGATGTGGGCCCAGTCTCCCATGAGTAGTGCTGCCCCTGTGTGGTAGTCCTGTGTGGTAGTCCTGGGCTGTGTGGGAAAACAAGCCGAGTAAGCCATAGAAACAAACCAGTGAGCAGCATTCCTCCATCATCTTGCCTTCAGTTTCTGCCTCTGGGTTCCTGTCCTGGCTTCTGTCAAGATGGACTATGGTCTAGATGTCTAAGCCAAATAACCCCTTTCCTCTTCACCTTGATTTTGGTGTTTTATCGCAGCCATGAGAGGAAACTAGGACATACTGAGCTTTCACGCCTTACATGTATGTGTGTGTGCGTGTGTATGTGCATGTGTGTGTGCACACATGTGCACTCGTTTGTGAACTTAAATATAAACTTGGAGCATGTTAGGAAGTGTGACATTGATCTTTATGAATCTACCTTATTTTGTTTAACACAGTAATCTCCAGTTGATTGATTTTGCTGAAAGTGTCACAATTCCGTTCTTATGACTCAGTAGAAGTCGTTACACACACAGAGAACGTTTTCTTTACCCACACTCACCTGTTGCTGGACTCCTAGGCTGTTTCCCCGTCTCAGCTCGTGCGAATAGTGCCTCAGTCAACGTGGTTGCCCAAGTGTCTCTGATGTGCTGAATTAGCCTTTCAGGTGTCCCTAAGATGGGTACAGAGAGTTTTATGGTAGCTCTAGGTTTGGCGATTTGGGAACCTCCACACCGATCTCATTAGTGGCTGCAGCGGTTTGCATATCCCTCCCCCAGCCCTATGTATGGGGAAAATTTTAATTACCCTGCACACATATAATGATATATGTCAGCGGCCATTTTCCCAAACATCATTAGTTATCTGTTGTACTAAAATAACTAATAGAAAATTTAAGTTGACCTCATCTGTTTTAGTATCAGCGTGATTCTTTGTTCTTAAGGATTTCCTCCATTTCCCGCAGGGATCCTCTGTGTGGCAGACCACTATCAGGGCCTCCGAGAGCTGGCATTGAATTACTACATTCTGAGCGATGAGCTGCTCCTTGCGCTGTCAAGTGAGACTCACGTGAACCTCGAACATCTCCGAATAGATGTTGTGAGTGAAAACCCTGGGCAGATCCAGTTCCACTCCATTAAAAAACACAGTTGGGATGCGCTGATGAAACACTCTCCGGGGGTCAGTGTTGTCATGTACTTCTTCTTATATGAAGAGGAGCTTGAGACATTCTTCCAAGAAGAGACCCCCGTCACTCACGTTTACTTCGGGCGTTCAGTGAGCAGGGCCATTCTAGGCCGGATAGGTGTGCACTGCCCACGGCTGGTTGAGTTAGTGGTGTGTGCCAATGGCCTTCAGCCCCTGGACAGTGAACTTATTGGCATTGCTGAGCACTGTCAAAACCTGACAGCCTTGGGCCTGAGTGAGTGTGAGGTCAACTGTAGCGCCTTCGTTGAGTTTGTACGACTCTGTGGCCGAAGGCTCACCCATCTGTCCATCATGGAGGAGGTTCTGGTCCCTGATGACAATTACACCCCAGACGAAGTTCACACTGAAGTCTCTAAGCACCTGGGAAGAGTGTGGTTCCCGGATGTGATGCCTGTCTGGTAACCAGCTGCCAAAGGTTCCGAATTCTCTGTTAGTAGGATTAGTTATTGTCTGGCCATGTAAATGTAATTTTTGAGATGAGCCACTGAACTGTGTTAGGTTAAATATTTGCTGTTTGCCAAATCTCTTAATTGGTTTCTGTAGAATCATTTGAAAAAAATATAGCAAACTTAAATAGCCAGAAGTTTTTGTCAGTAGGACACAGACACTGTGTGTTAATTAGAGCATTGGTAGGGTAGACTACAGGTGTCCAAGGCTGAGAGAGACTTCCATTTCTCAACCTTTGGAGGCATGTTTAGCTTACTAAGAAATTTATACTAAATTTATAATTAATATGTAATTACAATTTACAGTATTAGATCCCTTTAAGTTACATATTTTTATGTTACAACCTCATGTTATTTTAATTTCATCTGTTTCATTTGGTATTAATATGTTTTACAAAGCGCATACTGTTAAAAATCAAGGTACCATTATAGAGGTGTGTGTCATTGTACTTAAAATCTTTTTGGCATTTTGTGATTTATTTATTAGTAAACAACTTTGATTTCTAGAGTATTTTAAATTCATTTTTAGATAAACTTGGAAGGTAATTAGTATTATGTTAAAATCCAGTAGTGCTAATTCATTTCATAAAATACAGCAAATAGAAGGTACTGTGTTTATTAATTGAATACACGGTGTGGGTACAGAGGTGAATTTTGCAGGATGTGTTTGGAAATCAGTGTTTACTGGCCTGCTGCTGTTGATCTGGGACTGTGCCCTGTCCTTCGCGTATGTGGCCTGTCATCTGATTAGTCACACTGGTGACGTCCTTCTCCAGCTTGTCCTTAGGATGAAGATGTCGTCTGAGCAATTGCCTGGGTGCTCTGTGCTATTTCCTGACACTGTGCCCGCCCTTTGCCCACTTCTCTCCTTCTCTGTCCCTCCAACTTCTCTGCCCTCTGCTACCACAGGCATCTCTCCGAGATCTCTCTACCGGCTCCCTCTGTGCTCCCCCAGATCTTTCTTTCCCCTGTGGCACTTCTGAGGGGAAGTCGTCCTTGACACCTTCCCAGCTCCTGGGTCAGACCTTTTGCTCACATCCTGAGTACTCTGCTCTCCTTTGTAACGCCCACTGCTATGTGTGTATGATCTGCTTGTCTCATTATGACCTGTGCACTTCATTGTGCCGTAAACTCCCCTGTACAAGATCACTGCTCTGTGTGTGTGAGTGTGTGTATGAGTGTGTGTGTGTGTGTGAGTGTGTGTGTGTGTACAGTTATTAGAAGTCAGCTTTCAAAAAGAAAAACATGCTTATTAATTTTCAGTTTTGGCGAGTATCCTCATCTATTAAGCAGTTAGGACCCACTGTAGTTTGTAAACAGTTTGGAAGTAGACTGTCCTTCCTCATTCATTCTCATGGTGAGCTCTGAGACAGGTGACTTACGGTCACGTGTGTTCCTCGCTCTTAGAGCTGTGCGTTGTCTTGGGTAACAATACTAAAACCTTTCTTGAGGTCAGAGTTCTTAGTATTGCAGATAATATCACCTAAGACCCAGAAAGGTGTGCCGTAATTGAAAACTTGAAATCTAATCAGGGCAACGACACCACAGGCATAAGAGAAATGGCATCACTATGATGGAGGTAGGGGCAGGGTAATGGAAATACTGAGTAGATAAACCTATGGGTTCACTTGCTGTTGCCTTAGTGAGATAATGTTGTGCACACCTGCTAGCAAGGTGACCGGGTACCAGTGGGTGCACACCTGCTTAGCGAGGTGACCTGGCCCCAGTGGTGTGCACAGCTGCATAGCAGGTGCCAGTGGTGTGCACACCTGTATAGCAAGGTGACCGGGTAGCAGTGGGTGCACACCTGCATAGCGAGGTGATTGGGTGCCAGTGGTGTGCACACCTTCATAGCGAGGTGACCTGGCCCCAGTGATGTGCACAGCTGCATAGCAGGTGCCAGTGGTGTGCACAGCTGCATAGCAGGTACCAGTGGGTGCACACCTGCTTAGCGAGGTGACCTGGCCCCAGTGGTGTGCACAGCTGCATAGCAGGTGCCAGTGGTGTGCACACCTGTATAGCAAGGTGACCGGGTAGCAGTGGGTGCACACCTGCATAGCGAGGTGATTGGGTGCCAGTGGTGTGCACACCTTCATAGCGAGGTGACCTGGCCCCAGTGATGTGCACAGCTGCATAGCAGGTGCCAGTGGTGTGCACAGCTGCATAGCGAGGTGACCTGGCCCCAGTGGTGTGCACACCTGTATAGCAAGGTGACCAGTTGCCAGTGATGCTTGCCCTAGAGGCTAAGGGAGCAGAACATTGAGGAAAGACACCAAGGAATGGTTTTCCCTACAGCCGGTTGCATCGAAAGAGGAAGACACTGGGCCCTCTGAGAAGTATGAGATGCTGTGCTCTAAGTAGAGCTTTTTAGGGGCTCCTGTGGGAACCTCGTGAACTCAACGATGTAATGGGTCATGGTGGTCGACGTTTATTAATTCATGTCCATTCTCCCTGGTTGCTCACCTCCTGGGTTAGTGAAAGGAAGGGCAAAGATTTTAAAGACAGCCGAGAACAATACAAGAAAATGCTGTATCTATAGTGTCTCCCCATGGACACCTCCCCATGTCCTTTGGAAGCCCGTGAGTTCCGCTCTGCCTATGGTCAGAGGACCTGGCTAGATGAGCGTGTTCCGTACAGAGGGTCATAAACGTTAGTGTTGAGAGCATTTTCGTCCTGTTTGCTTGTTCGTGTTAAAATACTTGTGTTTGTTGGAGGATTTGGGGAACTTTCAGATAATTTTGTGGGCAAAAGTAAGTGTAGAGAGAGGAGAGAGGAAAGAAAGATCTTTCTGTATGTCAAACTAAAGAAACAAACAAAAACCTGAATTGTCGCTTTTTTTTTTCCTTTTCCTTACTGTGTTCCTTGCAGGCCTCGTTTGTGCACAGTATCCGGGGATGAGTCAGGAGGGTTGGCAGATGTTATCAGGTGCGTCTGCATCGCCATAATCCCCCTCTCCAAAGATACGAGTTCACCCTGCTGTGGCCCTAACCTCTTAAATTGGATGCTGACCTTGCTGTTCCATTAAATTAATTTTTTACAACTAAAAGCATTTTCAAAATAAAAATCCTTTTACTCATATTAACTTACACTTATCAAACCTGGCAATGTCTGGAACCACATTTTTGAGGTGTCTATTATATTAACTTTTATGAAGAAAAAGCAAAGTTACTTGGTATTCTTTCTCTTGTCATTTGAACTTTAAATAAGAGCCCACGAGCAGCTCTAATATCATGCACTAGAGGGCGCTGTATTCTAGTTCTTCCTAGGAAAGATGTTCTTCCTCTGGAGTTGGCGTTTCTATAAAACGCCTGGCAGGCGGAAGGTAGTGCACCATGCTGCTCTGGAGTTCTCCCTCCCTACTCCAGACAATCAGCTTGGTTTTGCAAGTGCTAGTCATATTTAACTGTGTTTCACTTCCTAAGCACCAGTCCAGAATGTTGATTGTTTGGAAGGCTGAGCACAAACTTCATTGGTCAGATAGTTAGAGCGTTTTCAACTGCCGTCCGAGCCTACAGCACTTCCTCTATGTCTGCAGCAGGAGCCTGACGATTGTCCATTGAAAGCAAATGCAAGCCCTCAAAACAGTACAAAGTTATTCGACACCAATGAGCACTACAGAAGGTCATCAAATTGGTGATACATATCATATATTTTTTAATCAGTATTAAATTGGGGGCAGGTGGCTTGAGACTGGGTTTTTCTTTGTAGCTTTGGAGCCTGTCCTGGAACTTGCTCTGTAGACCAAGCTGGCTCAAACTCAGAGCTCCTTCTGCTTCTGCTTCCCATGTACTGGGATTAAAGTCATGCACCACCACTTTCTGGCAAAACTTAAGTCTCTGGGGTTTTTGTTTTGTTTGTTTGTTTGTTTTGTTTTGTTGGTTATTTTGTTTTCTACTTATTTAATAGTGTTCTGCTTGCAGACCAGAAGAGGGCACTAGATCACATTAGAGATGATTGTGAGCCCTCATGTGGTTGCTGAGAATTGACCTCCGGAAGAGCAGCCAGTGCTCTTAACCTCTGAGCCATCTCTCCAGCCCCTAAAACCTAAATTATAATGTGCTGGTCTTGTGTAGATATTATGACGTGGTGGATGCTGACAGGAACCTGAATGGGTCCTTAAATGACTGGGAAACATCACTAACTCCTCCAGCCACCTACATACATGCATGTCCAGTTGCCTCTATGACACACTATTATTTCACAGGAAATACTCATGTGTCACCCTTGTCTGCACAACGGTGCCACTGCGGTGACTGGAACGTGTGTGACTCGCTCTTCCTAACCCTGTGGTAATTAGGTTTTTATTTATTTTCTTCCTCCCTTCCTCCTCCTCTCCTTCCTTTCTTCCTTAATTTTATAACCTATATGTGTTCTTGGAAATTATGTTATTTTATTTGTTTCGACATTATAAAAAGAGTGTTCCGCTTTTTGTAAATTTTTCACTTTCCTTGAATTACTGATTACTTCTGTCATTTGTATATCTTGTAATATTCGACTGTGTGTTATTGATGATGACTTCTGTATGATATTTGGCTCTGTAATTATGACCTGGTCTTTAAAATCTGTTGCTGTTAACGGACATTTGAGTTGTCCCTGGTTTTACTATGACAAGTAGTGTTGTCGTGGGCATCATTATGCTTCGGAATACAAACGGAGTCATTGCTCCAGTAATAAAGGCCAATTCGTTGTCTTTTTCCTTGAAAAACCTATAAGTAAGGATGGAACCATCCTACATTTCAAAAGGACGGAAGCAAAATTTCGTGAGTGAAATTTCCAGACGATTGCTCCAGTTTAGTCATTCCTTACTGACCTGTTTAGAGCCAGAATTTTTCTGTCTTTGCACATCTACTTGGTTTTGTTTTTCCCTCGTACTTGCTGTCAGCAGCTTTAAGGAGTGATGTATAATATGTTGGGCATTATATGTATAATGATGTCTGGCGTTGCTGGATGAGGCCGCCTGACCTCGATCCTCAGACACCTCAGCTAAGAGTAGTTCTCATTCTCATCCTCACACGCCCTGTGTGTACGCAGCCTCACTGAGGTCTAGAATGTGCTGTCTTCTAGAGGAGGCCACCATCACTTCCCAGGAAGCCTGTTCCTTTTGTGGAGCATGAAGGGTTACCGATAGAAAGACCAGCGACCTTCACCCTGTGACCAGCTGTCCCTCCAGCTAGCCTGACAAAGGTAAGTGCGTAGCTGAGATCCCATCGCCTTAGCATAAGAGGTTCATTAAGGGCATGTGTCACGCCTGCCTGAGAGCACCTCTTCATCCTTGGGTCATGGAAAGACCTTCAAGCTCTTTGTCCCTCTTAGGCAGAGAAGCAGCTAGTTCAGAGGTCTCAGAAATACAGTCTGAGTTCCTTGCTCGTGCTCTCTCTCCTTCTGCTTCTGATTTGGACCTTGAGATTTCTGTCCGGTGCTCCAATGTGGGTCTCTGTCTCTGTCTCCTTTCATCTCCTGATGAAGGTTAATATTCAGGAGGATGCCTATATGTTTTTCTTTGGGTTCTCCTTATTTAGCTTCTTAGGATCACTAACTATAGGCTCAATGTCCTTTGTTTATGGCTAGAAACCAAATATGAGTGAGTACATCCCATGCTCCTCTTTTTGGGTCTGGCTTACCTCACTCAGGATAGTGTTTTCTATTTCCATCCATTTGCATGCAAAATTCAAGAAGCCCTTGTTTTTTGGTGGCGGGGAAGAGACAGAAATCTTTAATAAATAAATTAATTAAAAAAAAGAAAGAAA